GATTAAAGTCATCAGTAACCAACACTTAAGGTTGGTAATAATTCATAATTAAGATTATCTTTGTCGGTTCATTTCATTATTCTCTATATTATTGCCAATGAGAAGACTTCCAATGTTTTCGGTACATGTTTAGCATCAAATTAATTACCTCAAAATTAACTTAGGTTGTTTTATTTAAAATTCATACCAAAAAGCATAAGTAAACGACAATTATACATGTGAACTGAGACAGCTTTACATTTATGATGATTGTGTTTCATGTATACCCGAATTGTAATAATGATTCATCCCTTTGGCCTATCATCCCTTTGGCCTATCATCTTGTTTAATTTCTAGATTTAATGTTGGTTTCACAATTGTTTTCTTATTGATTTTTTACTAATTTTTTTAGTATTGTTTTTTCTTTTATTTTTTTGTTCTTCATTATATATTAGACTAGATAGAAGTAAAATAAATTTTTTTAAAAAAAGTTAGCCATTTTTTTTTGTTTAGTAAAGTTTTTTATTTAATTTTTCTAAAAAGAATTTGAAAAAATTACAAATAAGTGAGACAATTTTAAAATAATTGTACTATAGGTGAAATCTTTTTTAGTTCAAGTCTAACATACATAAAAGACTTACACTTGTATCACCGTGAAAATGAAATTATTTTCTCACTGTTCAACTAAAATATAATATCTCCCACATAATTTTATTCTTTAGATCATTCTAGACTCAATAGATTCACAAGTAAATTACAAATGCACTTTGTAAGGTTTTAAAATATGAATTGCCCTTGTAGTTCTGAGAATTATAAATTTCATAATTTTTTTTTATTTCTAACTACTCTTTTACCGTAATCGTTAATTCAAATATATTTATGAAATCATTAAAAATTGTTAATTGATTTAATAATGAAATGATTTACAATAAAATGGGTCATTTGTTATGCGATTAGAAATTTGAAACGATGAGATATAATTTTCAAAACTACATGAGGCAATTGATATTTTATGCAAATCTCAAAAAGTATATTTGCAATTTCCTATAAATTCAAAAGTAATAATTTTTACACATATTTTAAAAATTCACTCAAATTTTAAGAATTAAAAAAAAATGTCAATTTTTCGGCTGTTGGGACCAAAAAATAAAAGGGGAAATTACCACCCAGTGGTGTTTCTACAAAATTATTACAAGTTGATAAAAAAAATTTAATTTAAATTATAAGTATTTATAAATTTTCTTAATAATCTGTAATTATTTTTTAAAATATACACTGAATTAATATTTGCGGGGTAAAAAAAAAAAAAAAAAAAATTGGTACTAACACTAAAAAAAGAAAGAAAGACTTTTTGCCACTTCTTTAAGGGAAAGAAAGGAAAGGAAATAAGATTCCACTTTCTTTTGGCCTTTTTCCAGCATTCAGACCTTTGAAATTGTTTTCAGATCAGATTCTTTTCACTTTGGGAAGTAACGAAAAAGTTGATAATTCTCAACCAAACATGCCGATTTTCTAGAAATTGGATGGCAGTGAAGTCACTTTGTTGAAAAAGCAGACAAAGTTAAAACCATTTTTACCTTTGTATTTATTTCAACAGATCAACATTATTAGATGTTGATATCTTTGGAATTTTTTAATGATTTGATTGTTTAAATTTATTTTCAAATTATAAATTTAAAAAATAAATATAGACAAGTAGGGGAAAAAAATAAAATAAAAAAATAACAATCCAATTGATATACTGATTTATGTTAAAAACTTAAATTATTTTTCAAATGCATGCATTACTTATAAAATATTATTAACAATTTTGGTAGCATCAATAAAACTAATCATGACATTCTATATTTTCAAATCTCTTTGTCTCAAAATATTTACTTTTATTGTATCATTTCCTGAAATTATCACACATTGAAATTTTTAACAATCTAAAGGGTTTGAAACAAAGGGATAAAAAATTTAAAGACAAAGAACTCTTGCATGAGAAATTGTCAAAGTATTCAACAGTATCGATTGAAATTGTCAAACTATTCAACAGTATCGATTGAAAAGATCCACATCTGTGAATGAATTGTAAACCTTAAATTAATTTTTAAGTCACAATCAAATGAAAATTTAAATTAATTTTTGTCTTTGCCTATCGAATTAACAAAGGAAAAAAAATATTTTTTTTAATTTTTTTTTTAAAAAAAATCAACTTATTTAATGCGATAGAATTGGTTCTATGAAAGTTAGTCAGTGCATACATGACTTGAAAGTCTCGAACCAAAACACGCTCCGAAGACCATGACTAAAAATTTGTTTGGAACGTAGGAAAAAAGTGCACATACTGTTTTTTTTATTTTTTTTAGTCACATCATTTCTTTATTTTTTTTATATTTTGTATAAAAAAATTAAAAAATATACTTATTTAAATTATTTCAAACAATTATTGGTGATCATTAAGATTAGATGTCAACGAGTTAGGAGTCCAACAGCAGGGGTGGGGTCCCATCCACCCATCACCTTGCCAAAAAGCATTGAACATATTTTTTTATTTATGACAAAATTTTTATTTGATGTAATGTCCTCAAAATAATACCACGAACCCAACTCATAAGAGAAGTAATGCCAGAATGATATGTTTTCATTTATCAGAGTTCGTAACACAAAAGATAATACATGCAATATACATTCATAAATATACATCCTGAATCTATAGCATGTAATACCAATAAATGATCAACAAAACAAATATCCTACGGGCTTACATTTTTCCAAGTCATTTCTTGGATACAACAAAAGAGAGTTATAAGCTCTGTACCTGAAAATGGGTTCCCAAGTAGAGTGAGCCAAAATTTAAAAGAAACAATTTTACACAATATATAAGAATTAACAAGATCTAAGTATGATGCACATTTCATTGTCCGACAACACAATCTTTATAACTTCCTCCAAACTATGGTAAGCCAAACTTACATTCCATTCCATTCATTTTGGTTCAATAGATACATCCACTATATTTAATTCACCCAACAGAGAATACACCTCACAGATTTCCAACAAATCAAAATCATCACACAATACCTTCACTTCTATTTGTCATTTTACGGAAATTTCGTCTGCAGGAATCGGCTCTCATGTATACAAATGGTTTTCGGGACTTTTACCCTAAACACACAGACCAACTTAGTTCAACGGAGTCCATCCCCTTTCTTCTCCTCAAAGTATGGAGTATATCCCCTTTCTCCTTCCAAATATCATGCATATACAATGTATTTCATTCATAATCATATTCAATGATACTGGTTAAAGGATTAGTTTCAATTCGCCTATTCCATATGCAAGGTCTACAACAATCATGACTATCCTCCACCGATAGCCCAAAGCAGTTATCTCTAGACAGGTATACAATCTCTATAACAGATAAATTCTTAAATTTCCATAGGTAAGTGATTGAACAAATTCAACAACACCTTTCATGTACACAACCTCTCAATTTCACATTTTTCACATCAATTTTATAATTTATACAAAACAATTATTCAAGATATTTTAGGGCAAACTCCCAATTTTTCCAATATTAACCCAAAGGCCAAAATCATCTATTTTGATACAAAATAACTTTATATCTAAACCCCATAATTATTTGTATAACACTCACATAGAAACCCCTCTTTCAAACTTAAACTCAAACCCTTGGTTTGCTCCAAACAACCCCAAATCTCACCATTTTCATATAACAACCCATAACTAATTTAAAACCCATATTAAGGTGTAAAGAGTCCATACCTCAAGTTTAGAAGACCAATGGGGCAAGCACAAAAATCCAAAAATGCCAAAGGCAAATTCCAATTGGATCAAAATGAAGCTCTCAAGATGCTCTACTCTTTTTCAAAAGACACTAGGATGGAGAGATCAACGGATCTAGTAGAAAATGTAGAGAGATAGTGTATTTTAGAGAGAGAGAGTCTCACTTTAGGATTTTTGGGAGAAAAGATCTAAAAAAGTGATGTAAAAAGCCATTTTCGCGATCTGATATATGCACAATCTGCTCGAGCGGAGAAGTTGACGCTCGAGCGTCAGACACAATAAGTTGTTCCACTCGAGCGTAAGAAACCCTGCTCTAGCACAGAATACACACTTTCAGTACTTTTGCAAACAACAGACAAACCGCTCGAGCGCAATAAAGGCCGCTAAAGCGCCGACCCGCTCGAGCGTAGGAAACGCCGCTCGAGCGTAGAAAATATCCCTCTAGTACTTTTGCAGACATACAAAGTACTGAGAGTTTGTAAATCTCACTCGAGAAAAAAAGGGTCGCTCAAGCGGAGGACCAAAATTTTGGACAACATAAGGTTTGAAAACCAAGCAAGCAACCTGCTCCAAACACGTTCAACGTACTCAAATAATCAAATTTAAGGAGGAATAAAGTGGAAAGACAATAAACAACATGCAAAAACCATAAACCCGAGTCCGGACTACTATAAGTGTCGGGTCAAAACCGAAATCGCTATATTTGATAACTACAAAAATGTTTTTTTTAGCTTAACTAAAAAAAATGTTTGATAATTTTATTCAGTACTTAAAATTGAAAGTATTAAGTGATAATTAATTAGACTTGTTTGATAATTATAATTGATATCATTTAAAAATTAAGTGTCTTATAAAATGAAGGCTAAAACTTATGAAAAATTTAAGTTATATAAAACTTATGTAACTGACTAAATTTATAAATATTATATATAAGTATTGATATATGTTATTATAAACTCACCACCACCACTACTATCACAACAACCACCATCATGCCACTGCCGTTGCTGTCACTATCACTAACACCACCACTATCACTACCGCCGCCACCACTATCACTACCGCCGCCACCATGTTACGACCCAAACTTGTCCCTATAGGTTTAGCGTCGTAATCGGCTAGTAATCCGTAGATTACTTACGGCCTCAAAGACAAAATTTCAAAGTATTTAATTTTATCGGGCCCTGAAGCAGAAGTAAAACAAAAATAATGATGTCCATTGAGCTGTGCGTACATGATCAACTGCAGTAATTAAAACATTCTTAACGCACTTACATATATACATGTACGAAGACATATTTTATATCTCACACACTACATGGAGGACTTTTAACAAAATACAAATATTAACCCAAGCTTGACAAAACAGAACAGAACAAAGCCTCTACACAGAGGCACTCTTGGGTGGCTTGACAAAGAGGCGAACTCCTGGGCGAACTCTAAGGTTGATCCTCCAATTTCTCACCTACACCTACATATATATAAATAAAAAGTGAGCTAACGCCCAGTGAATAATACCAAAGTAAAGAGGCTATATGAATGAGATTCTTAATTAAGTAATTCATATTTATGCATAATACATGTAAATCCAAATCAAAACGACTTCAAGTTCAATCTATCATGTTCAAGGTGTATCAGAGGGGCAAAACGACCTTGGGTCCAAGTTCTCATTCATACAGAACGATCTCAGGTCCAAAATACTTGTCCAATGATATTACAAAACGGCCTTGGGTCCAATCATAATACAGAATGACCTCAGGTCCATCATTTCCATATTCATATCTATGCGCATATTTATATTGAACGACCTTAGGTCCATCATTTCCATATTCATATCTACGTGCATATTTATACTGAACGACCTCAAGTCTATCATTTCCATATTCATATATATGCGCATATTTATACTGAACGACCTCAGGTCCATCATTTTCATATTCATATCTATGCGCATGTTTATACTCGTGATCATGATTGCATTTGTATTAAGACGGCCTTAGGCCCATTTCGTGTCCTTGACACACATATTAGACAGCTTTGGGCCCATTTCTTATCAAACATATCATTTGTCAAATATACATAACGACCTTTAGGCTTATGTCATATTCATTCGGAACGACCTTTGGTTTATGTAATCAAATATACAAAATGGCCTTTAGGCCCATTTCATATTAACTCAGAATGATCTTTGGTCCATTCAGATGATTTCATACTTATTAATTTCATTGTAGTCTTGCATAATCCGACGAATAGAATGCTTATTCATAATACGAATCACAAGTCCAGAACACTTACACATGAGTAGTATTTAAAAATAGCATATATGAGCATATCTTTACTAAAGTATTACTCACAGTGTTTAGATGCCTGGTTTACCCTTGTAGTTGACCCTACACAATTCATAACACACATAGAAATCGGTCGCAATACAATTTATACCATTATTAACTTGTTTAATTCTCTTAGGCTTCTTTCTTATTCTTTTAATTCATTTATAATGCTCAATGTATGCCTAAGAGTGCTTAAAAATAAAAAAGAACGGAAATCGAAACATGAAAAAGCTTTTCAAATTTTTCTGAAACAAGGTTCCTCGCTCGAGCACAACATTGGTCGCTCAAGCGAACCCCATGGTCTGCAAAAATACTGGTTGCTGGCATTTTACGCTCAAGCGGCAACTTCTCCGCTCGAGTAATAAAGTCGATTTATGGGTTTTCTAAAATGTTGTTTGTGCTTCAAAACATAACTTTAAATGATACAACTTACATGCTTTGTCCCATATATCAACTATACAACTTCTAACATGATATAATGCATTTTCTACAAGATTTGAAGCTCAAATCTCCAAGGATTCATCATACAAGCCCAAATTATTTCAAATTCATTTCCATAACTTCATAACCCATGCACATACTATGATAACCCGGTTCTGTAGTATGCTACTCGGTCCTTAACATGAATATGATTATGTGTTTGATATGATTTTGTATGCCATTATGTGAAAATATATCGTTTTGAATTTCTATCTGTTCGCCGTAGGAATATCTGTTTGATTATCTGCTTTGGAAATTAAATTGAAGGCCTTATCGGCCACAGAACCCGAAATTGACTGCGCCATTATGATTGGCGTAATTTTTAGAGCCTACGGTGAGATTTAATTGAAAACTGTTTCGGAACGAATTAAATAGATTAAATTGATGTTGTAGTGCTCAATTGTTTAATCTTATTTAATTGTGACTAATGGGACTTATAAAGAGGGACACTACACACTCAATTCCTCTCTTTGTTCATTTGAGCTGAAAATTACTCTAAGAAGAGAAGAGACGGTCGGTTAGAGAGAGAGTGTGTAGGAGATTGAAGGTTTGGTCAAGAAACTTGGGAATCTTGAAGCTACACCTCAAGAATTAAGCATAAGCTTGGAAGATAAAGCTTCTAGGTGAGTAAATTCATGAGTTTGAATTGGTGATTTTGTGAATTAAAGATTAATTGGTGATCAAGAACAAGAGTTGTGCTATAATTGATGAATTTGAAGTTAATGTGTACATGCATGTATAGGATCACCGTGATTTTTGCATAATCAAGCATGCATTAAGTTGAATATGGAAATATGAGTGTTAAATCATACATGTAAGCATGCTTTTGTTGTGTTCTATGAGAATGAACACCATTTGCATTGTTTGGAATAGAAATGAAATCAAGATTAGCATGCATGTTTGAATAATTAAAGATATGGAGCTTGTATGAGGTTTGAAGACATGAGTTTGAATTATACAAAAGGAACGCTAATTAATTTTGAAAATTGGCTCCATGTTGTTTGTGTACTCATGCTATATGTTGTATTTCTCCATTTTGGTACCTTAATTCGAGCTTTGGAGCCTTAGAATGTCAATTTGTGCTCAAAAACATGTTCTGAAAAACCCAGAAACTTTGATGTCTGCTCAAACGGGGGAACCGCCACTCGAGCGGGAAATACGTGCTTCCAGAACTTTTTGCAGACATGGTGTCCGCTCGAGCGGGGAAGATCACGCTTGAGCAGGAAACTATGTAGACAAACCTTCAGCTCTAGAGCCAGACTTCACCCTCGAGCGTAAATTCGATGCATCCAGTACTTTTGCAGACCTCATGGGTCCGCTCGAGCGGAGAAGTCCACGCTCGAGCGGGGACCCTGTTTTCTAAAATTTTGAAAATGCATTCTGTGTTCCGTTTTCCGTTCTCTTTCACTTCTGAGTACTCGTAGGCATACATTGAGCATTGTAAATGAGTTAGAAGAATAAGAATTAAGCCTAAAGAGGATTATGTGAATTAAGAACGGATTGAATCGGTTGTGACCCATATGTGTTATCTGATGTGTAGGGTCAAGCTCCAGGGCAAATCAATCAGCCGATCACTGTGAGTAATATCTTAACAAAGATATCTGAAATATGCTATTGTCCAATTGCTTGCGTCCATGTAAGTTTTATAAGGTTCGTTGATTCGATTGGTGGACAATGTATGCTATACTGAATGAATGGGCCAGAGGCCATTTTGATAAGAATGAATGAATGGGCCAGAGGCCATTTTGACAAGAATGAATGAATGGGCCAGAGGCCGTTTTTGACAAGAATGAATGGATGGGTTAGAGGCCGTTTTGATAAGAATGAATGAATGGGCCAGAGGTCATTTTGACAAGAATAAATGGATGAGCCAGAGGCCGTTTTGGCAAGAATGAATGGATGGGCCAGAGGCCGTTTTGACAAGAATGAATGGATGGGCCGTTTTGACAAGAATGAATGGATAGGTCAGAGGCCGTTTTGACAAGAATGAATGGATGGGCCAGAGGCCGTTTGACATGAATGAATAGGTGAGAGGCCGTTTCGACATGAATAAATGAATGGACCAAATGCCAGTTTGACACGAATAACAGTTTGACACGAATGATAGTTTGACACGAATAACAGTTTGACATGAAAGTATGAATGGGCCAAAGGCCAGTTTGACCTGAATGATACGAATGAATTGGGCCTGAGGCCGTATGATGTGTTTGGAACCGCAGTTACTTAACTTACATATGTCTATGTATGTGTGTATTAGTCAGAAATATAAACTGGGCCCAAGGCTGTTTGGGGTATATTGTTCCAATGTATGTTCTTTATTTGATATTATTCACTGCGCTTTCGCGCACGCTCATTTATGTGTTTGTAGGTGAGCCTAAAGAGGTCCAGACCCAGCCTCAGTGAAGTCTGTATGGAACAACCAAAGTTTTGAAGAGTCAGCCCTTGCATCTCACGCACGAGACACGTCTTCGCCCTTTTGCCATTCTGTGTATTTCGTCATGTTGGTGAGGACTTTGGTATACGCCTGAGTATAGTTTTGTTTGGCTAACTTAGACTTGAATGATCCTGTCTGTATAGAACCTTATGCTACTATACTTTCTGTTGTGAGTTATTAACATATGTAAATGTGGAATGTTATGATGTGCATGTAAGCACAACTTTATGGACAAGGTTTTAAATTTGCTTCCGTTCAACCCCTTTACTCTAATGGGTTTTTTCTTATTTGGTTTGAGGCCGTAGGTAATCTATTGATTACTGGCCGATTATGGCCTTAACCCATAGGGGCGGGTTCTGGTCGTGACAGAGTGGTATCAGAGCACGAGTTAATAACTCACACACTTGTCCAAAAGAGCAATAAGCATCTAGATAAGATCTAGGATGCATTCATGTGATAAGTATGAATTTGAAAGCATCAAGAATACGCTTAAATGTTCAATATGAATGATTATGTATTATAAGTTTGTGATTCGCTTGCATTGCAAAACATTTGAATACGTATGCTCTTTAGTATATGCATACTTGTGAATCTTTTGTATAAAGTATAATGCAAGTTTAATCAGATGTGAGAACATGCGATTATATGAGATATGAATTGTTACACTAATGTGTACAACGAGTTTGTTTTGTTATAATGCACATACAAGAACATATGAGTCATGAGAAGTTGCTTATGTGCATTCGATTCTGCAAATGGATGTCTATGTGAAATATGAACAAGATTTGAGTATATAACTACTTAGTAAATGTTCAGCATGCGATATCTAGTAAGTATGCAATCATCTATTACGTATATGATTAATTGTGCCTTGACGATACATAAAATGAGAATATAACAATGTGCCTATGTGCGAATGTACGCATGTGTATCTGCGTTTATTTTTGTATTGGGCATCCCGGTGTTTGGCAAGGCTTAATAAGAATTTGTGTAGAACATGGATAAAGTAAGGGCATACGAGTTGGCAGACTCTTCCATAGCCCGACTTAATAGACTGCAAAGAATAGTACAAGAAATGGCAGAGATTTTACGACAACAACGTCAGTTGCCACTACGGCAAGAACCTTTACCACCACCAGTGTAAGAAACACCGAGAAGTTTGCTATCGAATTTTTGGGGCTTGTTATAGATGTGGTAAAATGGACCATATGGTAAGGAACTGTCCCCGAACTGAACGGAACGTGAATAAATCTTCAGCCTCAGCTAGATTTCGTACCAATGGTGGGAATTGCTGATCAGGATAGAGTGATCACACTCATCCCAGAAAGCGCTCAAATACTGCGAACGTTATCCCAGGTATCTATATTGTTTATAAACGAATGCTTATGTATTGATTGATTCTGAATTAGTATATGTGTACATCTTCGCTTGGGATATTATTTGATTCAGATCGGCATCTTCTTTCGTATCTGCTGCATGTGTATCCAGACTGGTTAGACACACAACGTTGAGACCGTATTCATTGAATGTATATGCTCCATTTGGAAAATTTGTGAAATATGTATTGGGATATCGATTAACTCTGCACATGCACATGTACATCTAAACCTATGCTCAAGGTGATTTGTTATATTACTGTCTTCAATTACTAAACCACTGGAATTATGACTCAGTGATTGTGTAACTAGGTTGAGCACCCCAAATAACGAACTCTATAAATTGCGAGATCATGTACTTGGATTGGTAGAAAATTGACCGAACTATGTGACTATATTGGGCTTAACTCGTAAACCTATGATTCGTGACTAATTTGGAACTTTTGCATAACAAATCCTATACTATGTCCAACCGAGGAACTTTGTTTAATGTGTTACTGTGCACCATATATTTGCATATAAGACTTATTTAGGAACTGCTGTATTAATTATGATACATGCCTCTTGATATGAACAACTGCATGCATATGCAATTACACCTGAACTTATGTGAACAATGTCGTATTGTACATAACCTGAGACGTTTTGGTATAAACAGTCGTGATGAATGACTCCGATTTGAATTTGAGAACTGATGAACTTAGGACAATTGTGAAACTATTAACCATGTACCTAAGCAAACGAAGTATGCCTTACAGAACCAAATATAT